GGAAAAGCTGGATCCGAGATGAAAATGTCAAGATGTGGACGCAATTGTGACGTGAAGAGTTTGTGAACGCATGCGGGATCTCGACCATTAGAGCTCATGGCTGTTAGGACTTATCCTGATAGAAAGAAAAAACAACCTTAGTAAAAGTTATCGTGTCCACTTCTTAAATGTGTTCGACAAAGTTTCCATACTAATATTTTATCTGTTAGGGGAGTTGTAACAGCAGTATTTACAACTTTCTAAAATGTAAACGTAGTTAGAAGTTGGCGCTGTTACTTGCAAATTGCGTGAAGAGCTTGAAAAATTCTTGAAGCAGTTAGCTGTATGAGGTTTCTTTGAAAGAAGGGCAAAACACTCGCCGAAGTTAGATACCCAACTACAGAGATGGATTTCAATGGCATGGTTCGCTCAATCTGCTCTAAGACAATTAAGCGCTCCGTCGTAAACCGCTGCGATGCATTTGTGAAAACGGTTTTATAGCGCCTTTTTGATTATTGGCTTATAAATGAATTTCACAAAGGATTTGCGGTCGTGTAAACTTTCCACGCCATTGTTATCCCTCATCACATTATGGCATGATCGAGCTTCTATTTTTGTCTCTACTCCCTGCAGCGTTGTTGGTTTTGTGAAAAAAATTAATTTAATGGGTTCTCTGCTGTTATGAATACATCCGGTGTGGAATCTGGTACTAGTATTTTTACCAAGACTTCTTTTCTTCCATAAATCACTTAGATTTCTTTTTTTTTGTAAATGATTATCCATAGTAAGGAACAGATAAAATAATCCAAACATCTAAGATTTTTATGAGTTAATTTTTTCGCATGAAAGGCAATAAAAGTGCTTGAGTTCCATGTCGTTCTTAGCACTCTGATAGTTGAAAATAACTAACTTCACACAGCTTGTTGGAGTGGAACATAGTAAAATAAGGGAATAAAAACAATTATATCTGGCCTGGTTGGTTTTGTAAAAATACGTGCATACGCCTTCACGGATTGTTTCATTTTTGCTAGCAATCTCGGTTTCAAAGAAAATCGCATACATTAATCATGATTGAGCATAATAAAAGAAGTACATTTTTAGCTGCAGTGGCCCAATTAGACGCTTTTTCGAGTAAGAAATGCGAATATATCATAATCACTCTGAAGTCCATTTGCATTTCTACCATTCAACTCCATAGAGAGTGTTGAGCCTATGAAAGTCGTCTTCTCACTTAGTATTCATATAGTTGGTATTATCTCATGTGAGCTTTTCAGTTCTTATTTCGATTCGAGTAGTTCCGATTGGTTCATGGCAGCCCAAGTAGAAAGGGTCCTCTTGATTACAGCAAATGTTGGATCTTTATTTGAGCAGGACCGTCGCCTCCAGGACGCTTGGTTAAAAACTTTTACAGAGGTTTATTGTTTTTTATTCTTTTGGTACACCTTCTGACTCCTCATATGTTCTACCTTTAGCGGATTAACGAAGAGATGGCTGATTTTGTGGTCATTCACATGCAAGAAACAGGAGGAAAACAGTTGGTCATTCCTTGTACGCTCTAATCAGCAATTTAATATCGTGGACACTTTTATTCTCATTTCATCTTCAAGACTATCTACTCGATTCATTCGTTGCCTTTTTACCAAACAATGACCTTTTTTGCATTTGTATGATCGGCAAAGTCGTTACCATTTTTTCTGAGTCACTG